TTTTCATCCACAAAAGTAGCTCTGCATAGCTAGATCTTGAGAATGAGATAGACTGAGGTGCTGGGCCAGTACTGCAGGGCTTGTTTCCATGCGGCCTGCCCATGGAAGGAAGGTTGGAGATCTGGAGTCAATTTTGGGAACAAGGATAGCAGAGATGAGAGAGTTGAGGTCACAGGGATGACATAGGGTGAGAGGGAAGTCCCATATCAAGTATGGAGAAAGATAAGACCAGGCAAAGTACCAGGGAGTTTCTCAACTAAGAGCATGTTTGCTGTGGTTCATGGAGAGAAATGCAATGGCAGGAACAAAACTTCTTGTCCCACTGAGATGGTGGAGGTGCCTTGGAGGGATTTAGAATCATAGAATCGTAAAATCGAACAGGTTGGAAGAGACCTCCAAGATCATTGAGTCCAACCCTACCATGGTTACTAGACCATGGCACTAAGTGCCACATCCAGTCTCAGCTGGAAAACCTCCAGGGATGGGGAATCCACCACCTCCCTGGGCAGCACATTCCAATGCCTGAGCACACTCTCTGTAAAAAATCTCTTCCTGGCAGAAATGCTTACCTTGTCTCCTCCTGAGGAAAAGGAGGAAAATGCAGCAGCTGTTCAGTTCCAGTAGGGATGTGGTGACCAGTTACCACAAGGTTCCCATGGTCAAAGAGTCTGTGCAGGAGCAGATGGGAACTGGGCAGAGCATTTGCTGGGGCCAATGGGCTGGTGGCAGCCTCTGCCTGTCTGCAGGGCTGTGGCTGCAGGAAAGGTCAGGCAGAATGTGAGCTGGGCATTAAATTAAGCCTGTAAGGAGACACTCAGGGAACTTAAGATGGATTAATTTAAGGTGTAAAGTTTAAAGCGTATTATTACGAAGGAGGATTAAGCTAAACTGAGCTAATGACACCACTTTTGAATGCATAGCCACACAGCGGATTCAGAGCTTTGGCTCCACGCCTTTTATTACTTAAATGTACTTACCTTCTTAAATGTCCCCATAAAGATATATGCTCTTATATTCCAGATCTCCATGTTTTCCTTTTTCCATGTCGAGAAGTTTAGATGTCAGAGGTAGAATTTGGTTTGGTAGGAAGGTTAGGTAGGGGGAAGGAGACATAGATGTCTGTTTTAGCTCTTCCCTGTGATGGCAGTGGCACTTGATGTGACTTGATGATATTTATTCTTAGATGATGCATTCAGTAAGGAAGAGATAACTTCATGCATGTTATGTAGGAGAAGAAAAAGCTGCATGAAGACCTCATAGCAGCCTTTCAGTGTCTGAAGGGGCCTACAGGGAAGCTGCAGAGGGACTCTGTTAGGAGCTGCAGGGACAGGACAAGGGGCAATGGGTACAAATTAAAAGAGGTGAAATTTAGGTCAGATGTTAGGCAGAAGTTTTCCCTGTGAGGATGGTGAGACACTGTCCCAGGTTGCCCAGGGAGGCTGTGGCTGCCCCAACCCTGGCAGTGTTCACAGCCAGGTTGGATGAGCCTTGAGCAACCTGCTCTGGTGGGAGGTGTCCCTGCCCAGGGCAGGGGTTGGGACTAGATGATCTGTAAGGTGCATTCCAACCCCTAAAAATCTATGATTCTGTGTTGACATGCCCAAATGTCTGTGTGTTCCTTCTCTTTTAACATATTTCTATTGCTTTATTTTGTTGTTACTCTCATGGTGTTGGGATATCTGTGATTGCAGCATCCAAATTTTTGCAAAGCTCTGTACCCTCTTATTTTACAGTGTGGTTTAAAATCAAACTGTAAACTCCCCACAAAATGCTTAGCTTGCATTAAACAGAGTCATGAATTAACTAGCATAATTTGTCGTTAGTAATAATTCATAAATAAGTAATAAATCACCTGAATTGGTTTTTCAGGAGGGAAACTGATTTGAAATTACAAGTTTGAGTAAGTTAAACAAACCACTTAGTAACTCCTTCTGTGTATAAGTTTATCCCACTACAAACAATGCCGTTAGGTTTTCCTCGAGGGTAAGGTAAATATCAATATTTGTAAGTAGATAAAAGACTAAATATTTAAAAGAAAGACAGAAAAATAACTAAATAACACCTGACTATTACGGAAATTCTTCTATTTAGGCAATCATATAAAAGCAAAACAAGTACAAAGAAAACACATGGTTGAAGAAGTGAAATGTCACAAAAAATGCAATGCAATGTGAAAAGTACAGGGTTTGAGTCAGAATACTTTTACATTGCATCTCACAGAGAGTGTTTTTCTACACTGTTTAGTGAAAGCATAAGAAACCTGAGACAAAACATCATAATGTTTCATTTTATTATTTGCTGTGTGGCTTGTGGTATGTGATGAAAGGTCTTGTGCTTCTCCTCTCTGTGGAGGTCAAACACAGATGGAGGTGGTGGCAGCAGCTTTATGTTCTGGGGCTGGAGAAACTAACCTTGGTGTCCTGTAAAAGCATTGATGAATATAATAGACTGTTCTTACTTTGAATCCTCCTGTCTTTGGCAGTCTGAGATATACCTTAATTTTTTTTTTTTCAAATACATATTCCCCTTACTAATCATTTGCCTTTTCATTTCAGCATGTATCATGCTGAGTCTCCAGGGAGTGGTCAGTTAGAAGCCACTGTTATTGGTCCTAATCTTGTTTTCAAGATGAGACTGGTTGTGACTCTTAGTGCCATGGTCTAGTAATCACAGTACGGTTGGACTCAATGATCTTGGACGTCTTTTCCAACCTGGTGGATTCTATGATTCTAGACCTGGATTGCTAATTCTGGGAAGAGGGAGGGGAGCAGGAGGGATCAGACTTCCCTCCTTGGGGTCTTCTGGGACCCTTTTTCCCCAGCTGTCTCTAGGTGAGCTCAGAGGTGCCTGCAGCCCTTTGGGCTCTGGGCAATAACAACTTGTCAGGCAGGAGGACCTCGAGCTGGATTAGGGGGATGTCCCCAAAGAGGGATGGGCTGCATCATGCAGTGTCCAAATGAGAAGGAGCCCCCACCCCTGGCACACTCAGTCCTCCATCCTAAGGACTCATCTACACACTGGGAGAGGTCCAGGGGTGGCTGTGCTCGGTGGGGGCCACCAACTTCAGGCAGACCTGGAGCTGGAGCAGGACCCTAGGCACAGCAGCTTCAGAAATGCCCATTTGTGTGTGTGTCTGCTGTCTTTTAATTCTGCAAATCCTTTTCTGCTCCATCTGATTCCAGTTCTCAGGGTCACTTTGTGTGCATTTGTAGTACACAACCAGCACTGAGAGTGTGCAAGTGATGTCTCTAAGTCCTCTGCAGCACATGACTGGGCTTGTGTGCATCCAGCCTCCCAAAGAGAGGGCCAAGTGGCATTTCCATCAGCATCCAAAGCATCCAAAGACTATTTTCTATTCATTTTCTTCTCTGCAGTCCATGCTGCACAATAAAAACAAATAAATATGGCATTACTGCTACTATTAAATTAAATTTAAAAAAGAAGCTGGCAATTCTTAGTCTCCAGAAGAGGGTGGAGCAGGGGGAAAGTGCAGAGCCCATATAACAATGGGGAGTCTGCTTTTATGGGTATTAAGGAGGAAAATAAAATCTGCCCTGGCAGTAGTGAAATACAACACCAGGAAGATTATGTCAGCCTTTGTTTGCACACAGTATGATTCTTCTCTTTCACCAGCCAATTTGTATATTTGAAAAGGCAGTTGCTTGGTTAAAATAATTAGCTGAACTTCATCCAATTCCATCCAATTCCACAATTATGTGGGAAAAAAAAAAGACCTTTGAAGAAATACAGACAAATGGGTTTGAGTAATTTAAAAAAAAAAAAAAAAAAGTAGTGGTCACTGAACAACTAGAGTTGTCTAAATAAGTGTAAATACCTGCATATATGTGTGTGTGTGTGTGTGTGTGTGATAGTTTCAGCTGAGCCAGGAAATTCTGGATGGCTGCTGTAGCCATTGTGGTTTGGGATGACAGCTTTAGAAGTTCAGCAAAATCCTAACTAATTCTGCCTGAAACTCAGGCAGGATAGGTTAGCCTGGGGTTACCTCAGAGGAGAGAGAGAAGGTCCAAAGCTAAATTTATGAAAGTATGTTTAAAGAAAAGAAAAAGTAAACTGAACATAAGTCATCCTAATTATTTTGCAGTTTAACAGGCAAAAATCTGCATTAATGAACAAGTTCCTTGTTTTATGTATTCTTGTATTCCAGATTATTTTAGATTACTATTTTGGAAAAAAAAACCACATGATTTTTTTAATATTTCAGTGTTTGAACAAGAGGTGTCAACTGATGGGGGAGGGGGTTATATCATTTAGAACATGGGTGTAGGTTTCTCAGTTGTTCTGATCCCTTCAGCAGGCACATTTCCATCAGCCAGGGCAGAGCTGAACAAACACTGACAATTCAAGTAAATTTTAAAACATCATTGCCAGTTCATTAACATCATTTGTGTATCAAACTCAAATGACATTTGTTGCTGTTCCTTTCAGGGGGTGGAGGTTAGTGTTGCCTATGGTGTAGTGAATTGGCATGGCATGGCACACATGGCATGGGGCTGTTCAGCCTGGAGAAGAGAAGACTCTGTGGAGACCTCAGAGCAGCTTTTCAATATCTGAAGTCTGTACAAGGAGCTGGAGAGGGACTCTGTGTTAGGAACTGCAGGGACAGGACAAGTGGTAATGGGTTCAAATTGAAGGAGGGAAAGTCTAGGTTAGATGTGAGAAAAACGTTTTTCTTGTGAGGGTGGTGAGACACTGTCCCAGGTTGCCCAGGGAGGCTGTGGCTGCCCCAGCCCTGGTGGTGTTCAAGGCCAGGTTGGATGAAGCCTCGAGCAATCTGATCTAGTGAGGAGGTGTCCCTGCCCAGGGTCTGGGGCAACTCCATATTCCCCTGTTCCCCAGCTCTTTACAGCATGTCTCACTGCCCTCTGTGTGATCAGTGTTTGATTTCTAGGTCACACCTCTCTTTACCCATGTGTAGGCTCCCCCATGCACGTTGTGCTCTGCCATATTTATCCTCTGGATTTTGTTTTTTCTCTTTGCAGGGAACGGATGCGCCAGTCTGCCATGTTTGAACTGTGCCAGGGGATGCACCAGATCAGTCTGCAGTTTGTTCGTCTGCAGCTTAGCTTTGAGGAGTACACTATCATGAAAGTTTTGCTGCTTTTAAGCACAGGTAAGTTGGATTCATAGTTACATGGGAATATTTGAAAATACTCCAATTCACAAAGCGATGCAGTGATTTTAACTAATGTGACAAAAGAGCTAAACTGTTTCCAGCTGGGATGCAGAAATAAGCCTGGTTTTCTGTCTTGGGGTTTATCTGCAATTAGCACGGGAAGTGTCTTTGCAATTTGGATGTGTCATGTGCATTGGAGGGACAGGAGTGGACAGGGAAGGGACTTTAGCCACCCTCTCTGTAGGCTGACCACACAAGTTGGCCAGACATGCCAAGAAAGTGCCACAGCTGTAGGGATTGAGGGAAAATCCCTGCTCAACATTCAAAGCCACCAAAGTTTGTCTGACTTAACATCACCTTCAAGACCAAAAGATGTACATTGCCTGTACCACAGAGCAAATGATTTTGTAATGCCAAGTGACTTGGGAATGGTAAGCCCTTACACAGGGTTCTGAAAGAGTAATAAATGACAGTGTGTGCTTTGTTTTTCTCTGGAGCATCATTCTTTGAGTTTTAAAATACAAAATTACATCTTGGCATTTGTTGCAGCACTGTGTAGTAATTAGCAGATCTCTTGGTCTTATCTTACTGAAAATATTGGAACACTCCTGTCCCAGTACAGTTGTATAAATACACAGACAGTTTGTACATTACTTTTCCATCAGTCTTGGTGAAAAAGCTAGTTACCTGTAACCAAACTTTCTTCTCTAGAATCCTGCTCCTTTTTGTGGGACCCACTCAGTGACATCATGATGTCACTTCAGTGACCTCCCTGGGCAAGGATTCCCCTGGCAGTAGGTGGCTGGATGTAGGGGTATTGCACAGGGAGAGAAGGAGCAGGAGATCACAGGGACTTATGTGCTTATTCTGGCTTTCACTCAAGCTGTCAGCAGCAGGATGTGTGTCCAAGGACACCAGGGGCTGCCAGGGCTCATGCTGCACAGAGCATGTCCCCATTTGGTGGTGAGTGGAGCCCCTTGAGGTCCTGCTGCCTTCTCCCATCAGCCCACCTTCTGCCAAAGATGAGAGAACAAGTGAATGGCAAGCAGTAGGCATGAGTTGTGCAGGACTGGAAGGCATTTATCACTGAAACCACTGCAGGCTGATGCAGCAACAGATTTAGGCACCCAGGAGCCTCCTGAGTCCCCACACATGGCATGGACATGCTGGCTGCAGGAGCAGATAGGTGGCCATGAAAGGATTTGCAACATCCAGCAAAAGCAAGAGGTGAGGTGGTGTGATGGGCACTTTTCCCTGCCTGCAGTGCCTTTCACCCATCCCACCCAGCTGGTAGCTCTGTGGTTAGAGTATCTGCCTTGGAAGGAGGATGGGAAGCTGCAGTTCCCATCAGAACTGGAGAGGATTTGGATCCACTAACAGAAACCTCCTGGGGCTGTAAGGTTTTCTTGTGCTCAGCTGTCTCCCTCCCTCCCTCCCTCTGACTGAAGCCATTCCAGCTCTCTGGGATGGAGAGAGACACCTCTGGGTGAGGAGCACTTGTGTCCTGGCCTGTGGAGTCTGACCCCCAGGTCCCACCCCACCGAGGGATGGAGGAAGTGTCTGCCAGTGAAACTGGAACTGTGGGGAGTTAAGATGCCCCAGGGATGCTTTTTTGAAGGTTGTCACTCATGTTGTCTCCAGAAGCAACTAGCAGTGCTTCACATGGATGTGCTCAGGGCACGCAGGCTCCCAAAATGTTCTTCAGGTGGTGTCTGGATTGATGTCTGCTGCTTTTTAATCAGCCCTAAAGGGGGAGAATCTTTAGAAAAAGAACCTGAAGGCATTGTAAAAACACAGCAAAATGTCTTTAAGCTAAGTATTTATTATTCTACCCTCTGGAGAGTGTTAAGTAATGAGTTATTGCAAGAATCTGTTAGGTGAGATCAGCTTGGCCAATTAACTTCAGTGAGCTGAGTCTCTTTGAAGCACACACCATGGTCACTAGAAAACCTGCTAAAAATAGTTTGTTTTGGGAGAATCAGGATATTTACATTAGAGAGAGAGAGAGAGAGAAGGGAGAGCAAAATGGAAATGAAGACAGTGGTAAAACCCAGAGAGTGTCATGTGAAGGGTAACAAACCTGGTTTAGAATCGTTGCACCTTGGTACAATCTCATGATGGAAAACACCAGGTTTGTTTTAATTTACTTTTTTTTTCTATGGAATCATGTGATGAGCAGAGTATAAGTTATTCTGAAACTTTCATGATGACCACATCAAGGAAGTTTCACTCCCATATACATGTGGAAGAAACCACACATTACAACTCAATTGTTTTCTTGCTTTCCTCAGACCATAGATTTTGGGAGCTTACCAACAGCATTGCTGCATTTAATAAGTAAAATCAGAAACAACTGGGCAAACCTCCAGAATTTCATGTTTTGCTTGAGTTCTCTTTATTTGTGGTCTTTCTTAATAATCTGGCTGGGTTGATGGTATAATAATTTTCAGACAGAACAGTAAAACACATAGTAGTAGACAAAGAAAAGAGTGGCTCTAACAGTCTTTAAGCAGCATGTAGGAATATAAGCCTGTGAGTATTAAAGGAACAGTAAAGCCCATGCATTTTGTGTAAGGGCCACAGCATATTCTGATGGCTTTACTCATCTTGATTGGTGCCTCTGTATTCTTTCAGCTTGAACTGAATGTGTAGATTTGTTCCAGACAGTTTCATTTATCTGTCAGCCAACTGACTCAGAGAGTTTACATCTAGAATTTAAAAAATAATGTTATGTTTATAAAATATTAATAGATAATGTTTATACTGTGATTAGATAATACAAATATTTAGCAAGCAATAGGCAGGTCTATGTGTTACCTCCAAGACTTTTTCTAAAGATTTCTTGTGCCCCCTTCCAGCACTTGGTGGCCTCAAGTCCTTGTTGCTCATGTGGTGGTACAGCTCCTCCTTGTTTTCCACTGCTAAATTGCTCTGGTAGATACTGGTGCTTTTTCTTAAAGCTTCTACTCTGGAGCTGTTTGGGCAGTTATCACATGTTTATGATGTGATTTCAGTGAGATAAAGGGCAGTTCACAGGATTTCAAAGAGAAGAGAATGGATGAACAAGACAATTTCTGTCAAAATGTTAAGTCAAGGTAAGCTAAATTGGAATAGCACCTCTTTTTCTTTCCTTTCTTGAGAGGTAATTTCCCATTTAGCTTACTCTGATGTAGCTTTCTGGCTTGCTTAAGAAATAAACTCACTCCTGTACAGTATAGTATTTTATTTTCCTTCTGTGGACTATCATTAAGAGATACAGAGAATAAAACACTCGCTGGCTAAGCAGTGTTCAACCAATTCAGATACTAAACACCAGAATATTTTGAGTAATGTTATTAATAACCTCTTCGGAGTTTTCATAGTCATCTGATCCTAATAAGCCATTCCTGTTCAGGGCAGAACCTGCTGAAGTGCAAGGGTATTTGCAATCTGTAAAGAAACAGTGTATTTGCTTTTGTAATTAGTTGTGTTGATACCAGTCACAGTAAAAAGTATCAGAAATCTCTACTTTTAGCCCAGTTGTGAAGATGGCAGATGGAATCTTTAACAGGACACTAGAAATGCTTGCAACTGTCTGGGGTGGTCAAACACTGGGTCAGGATGCCTGTTGGGAAAAGAGTCTTCTGTTCCATGCAGAATCGTTTGGTTTGTCCTAGGTGTTATGCAGATGCTTGCTAACATTCAAGGGAATTTTAGATCTGACTTGATGGCATCAAAATGTGTCACTTGGTCTAGCATTTCTGCAGATAACAGCTGTAATTCTGTACCTTCTCCTCCTCTGCCAAGTGTGGGAACTCGTTCAAGACTGATAAATCACGTCTTCCACTTCTAAAAAAATCCTCTTGATCCATCTGCTTTTTTTTTTAATGTGGTTGGATTGTATTAGAAACAGTTTGGACATGAGGGTAGCATGTGTCATTTTTCTGAGATGTTATCTCGTCCTCTGCCACAGCCTCTGCAATCACACATCTGGAGAGGATGCCTGAATTGCTTGGAAATCTGTATGATGTTGTTGATCCCTTACCAATGTCTGTAAAATTATGGACTTTGCTTAAAGGTTTAATTCCTTCATCCATTAACTGGTGTAACTGTTTAAGTATGCACATCAAAATAATAAGCAATGCAGTTAATATTAATTTCAGACTGTCTTTTCAATGACAGTTCCCAAGGATGGTCTCAAAAGCCAAGCTGCATTTGAAGAAATGAGGGCAAATTACATTAAAGAACTAAAGAAGATGGTAACTAAATGTCCAAGTAACTCTGGGCAAAGCTGGCAGAGATTCTACCAACTGACTAAACTTCTTGACTCCATGCATGATGTAAGTATAACTCCTCAGGGAGTGCAGAAAAATTAAGAAAAAAAAAAATCTCTCCATTAAGGTCAACCAGTAGTCTTTAATTGTGTTAACCAACAGGGAGACAAGAAATTAAATTCTTTTTAAAGGAACATCTGAGAGAAGTTGTTAGATAAATTTAAGGACAACTGCCAAGTTAAATAAGAAAATAGAAGTCATTAAGGGCTGGGTCCTGCTGCCTTCTCCTGTGTTAAATGGTGGTGTGTTCCTCCAGTGATTCATGTAGTCAGTAGAGCTGTTAGTGAGGCCAGAGGCTCTGCAGCTGGAGAGGTGATGCTAAATGTGACCCTGCTCCATGCAGAGCTAGTGCACCACACAGAGCATCACGAGTCCCAGTGCAAGCTGCTGGATCAGCGTGTCACACATCCAACACACCTGATGTGCTCATAAATCTTGGACTAATTTGGGGATCTTTTACAGCTGGGATTGTAAGAATGATGACTTTAAAAGATGTGTTAAGACCGTAGCCATCTTGGCTCTTCAAAGCTTTATTTGAGCTTTTGAAGTATAAGATTCCTTGTTGGGTTATTTCTCTCTGGCCTTGCCTCATTCCAGTGTGAGCTGTTGTTTTGCATGTGGCAGGTGTGAGATGTGATAAGGGACATGGGGAACTATAAGGTTAGTCTCAAAGCACCCAAGCTGTTGATGCCTCCACCCAGAGTGACTCTGAGGGGTTGTGGTAGGTGCACAGAACCAGCTTGTGATTGCCATTGTGACCTGGAATGTTGAGCTGTTTGGTTGGGGGAAACCTGGTTCTAGCCAGTAAGATGGTTGAGTGCAAAGATTTACCTCTCCAGGTGCTTTGAGCAGCATCATAGGTGTATCTCCATTAACCTTCTGTAACAGAGCCTGCACAGAGGAGGCAAGTGACCCAGTTGTTAGGGTCTCCTCAAGCCAAGAGGTTTTCCCAGTGCCCCCCAAGAGTGCTCCAGCCTATTGCTGGCACCCATCCTCTCTGAAGCTGTACCATGGTGCAGCAAGTGACAGGAGACTCATGGGGCCCATGAGAGTGATGTTCAGTCATGTTTGAGTCCTCCCGTGAGCGGAGACTGAGGCCCAGCAACGTGCTGATCAACTCCCAGTAAAAACTGGTGAACTGCAGCCAGGGTGGAAACTGTCCTACTCCATTCTGGGTGTACAGGGAAGGAACTTTGCTGCATGAAGAACCTACAGCTTTCAGAGCTTGCATATAAATGTGCTTCTTTGTACTCGACTTAAATTTCATTTCGTGGAGACAGTACAGTACAGTGCACTTCAGGTCAAAGCCGTATAAGAGCCTGAGGTCTGTTTACAGAACGTACATATGGAATTATTTTTCAAATATTGTTCTGTTGTTCATTAAAACATTGCAAGTCTTAGTGGGAGGCAGGGAGAGTATTATTAGTACTGCAGTAATAACTTATTCTTCAGAGATCAGGTTTCACTTAGTCGGTGCCAGCAAAGGAAGTTGTAGTGTTTTAGTGGAAAGAACAGGGATGGGTGATAAAATCATTTGCAAGAATTCACATCTGAACCTTGAGGCAGCACAACAAGCATTTGTGGAGTTTTCTAATCCTCTTCAGGCTAGGCAGTGTCTGTGATTTGTTAGAGAAATGGGTGTGTTTGTGCACTCAAGGTGACTGGCTGACAGGCTTAACTGGGAACGCTACCGTGTCCTACAGACATTTTCCAAAACACAGCGTTGGCCGTGGGGAGCTGAACTAACCAGAGGAAGCAGCTCGCTCTTGTATTTTATTTAATTTTTAATTAAGCTATTTTTACATGACTTTTGTTTTAATAGAGCACTTTCTTTCAAAGGACTTTTTAAAGAAAGTCCCATTGTCAGCATTCTCTGCTGAAAAGGCCAGTTGTGTGCACAACAGTGAGTCCTTTCACGGGTGATACTGGAGACTTGTTCAACAAAGGCACGTGTTTAATTTTTTCCTCGTTAAAAATGGTGGGGGTTTTTTTTCTGGCTTTTTGAAACCCATTAGAATAAATTTAGAGTGGCAATAATATTAATGAGAAGTGAGAATTATTATTCTCCTCTCCCCACCACCTGTTAGTGCAGGATTTCTCCATTCAATCCGTGTAAATGTAAATTATTTTTTTTTTTGCTCAGTTCCTCAGGATAGGAGGAACGCTTTCTCAGCTGTCACCTATGTATTTTTAACTTACTCCATTATAATTTTAGAGGGTGAGAATATATTTGGTGCTGAGAGGTCTAACTGAAGCTCAGGCTCCATGTTTACATGCTGCTCTAGCCACAGCATTGGCATTTGCAATGCAAGCCTGAAGGGACTGGTGCAGAATTCATGCTAGTTCAGCCCTCCTGCTGCATCCAGCTTTTCTGTCAGAGCAGCATCTCATCACTTGTGAAGTTCTCTTTACCTGAGAGTAGTGGCAAACAATAAAAAAATACTGCTCCTTTGCACCTTCACACTTGCTTTCATTGACCTCATTTTTAACTAGTCGTTCTGAGAACTATGTGAAATAAGGTGCATGAAAATATCAAATTTGCAGTATGCTTGGCTTATATAATATGAGAAAGCAAAAAAAACCCCACGAACAAGATGGTTTTACATTGCTCAGTATACTAAATCATTCATCCACACAGTGAACATATGTGCAGGTAGAAAAGTGCCGAGCTGAGGGGAAAAAAATGAAATTTTCAAGAAGGCCAGGTAGGCATTTAAGTATTTGAAAACATCAGCAACTTTATTTAATGATCCATAAAGGCTCAAAGCACTGAAAGTGCAACTGCAAAATAAGAGATCAAAACCCATCCCAAGCAGACAGGATAAACAGGGTTTCACGCTCGTGAACTCCTGCGCTCGGCCTTGGGAGCATGGCCTGTCATCTGTGTCATGCTGCACCAAAATGCTCCTGATTTGCATGATGCAGTGAGGAAGCAGTGGCTGCTGACAGTGTCAGTCTGGCTGCACAGCACTCCCTTCCTCTCCCTCAGCATGAGATGATCATAGAATCAGCCTGGTTGGAAGAGACCTCAAAAATCATCAAGTCCAACCCTACCGTGGTCACTAGACCATGGCACTAAGTGCCACATCCAGTCTCAGCTTGAAAACCTCCAGGGATGGGGAATCCACCACCTCCCTGGGCAGCACATTCCAATGCCTGAGCACTCTCTCTCCCTAAAAAATCTCTTCCTAATCTCCAACCTAACCCTCCCCTGGCAGAGCTTGAGTCTGTGCCCTCTTGTCCTGCTGCTGGTTGCCTGGGAGAAGAGACCAATGGAGAGGATTAGCTTGTTGCCATTTACTTGCTCTTGTTCTATGGCTCAGTTTTGATGGTGTGGAAGGACCCCAGGGTGGGTAACTTCTTGGAGTGCTGAGGGCAGCAAGGTAATCAATATACCATCCCTGGAAGTGTTCAAAAAAATGTAGATGTGGCACTTAGGGACATGGTTTAGCAGTGGACTTGGCAGCGCTGGGTTAATGGTGGGACTCACTGACCTTAGAGGTCTTTTCCAACCTTAATGATTCTATGATTCTGTATTTCCTTCTCATAGGGATCGTATTTCTTGCTATTGTGGCTGGCTCTCATGTCATTTCCTGAAGCAGCCTTGTGTTAAGAGCCCTAGTGTAGCAAGGACAACCCACCTCTCTACCCAGAACATAAAGGTTTTGGCCTTGTGCGTGTGAATGGCCGTGAGCATGTCAGGGAGAGATGCACGTGCAGCACTTGGAAGTAGGTGAAGTGCCTTATGTGATCAGAGAAACGACACGAAGCAACATTAGAAACAGATGTACTACACATGGTATCAAAAACTTCCTTTGGATCCTCCTTGTCATCTCCTGTTGGCTTTGGCAGGAAGGGTTGTATCTTGCATGGCAAGCCACATTTCATATAGAGACTGTAGTGTATGGTTAGGGGGTTTGCAGAACGAAAGTTGAATTTGGTTTCAGTCTGGCTGATACTGAACAGACCTTGAGTGAAGAGGGTTTTTGTTTGGATGCCATGACATTAAACCCTAATGTGAACCTTCCCCTTGTCTTGGCAAGACAGCACCCTGCGCTGTCATTTGCTTGTTGACATTTTCTGCCAAACAAAAATACATTCTTTAAGGCTCATGCTGCTGAATAATTAATTTTCTTTGTGGTTCCTGAAGGGAATGCTTTATAGCTGAGGTGGATCTTTCCGTAGGCTGAGGGCGCCAGGATTTCACTCGCTGAAAGAGCTGACAGTGGGAAGAAGGGCACAGATCCTCCAGGGGCAGGTTTGCAAGGAATGCTGTGCTGGATACAAATGTGCCTCTGCAGGTGCTTAATCCTGCAGATATGAAGCTGCAGATGAGCCCCTCAGCTGTCATCCACAATTTTGGGTGCGCTTACTTTTGCTACCGAGCTGCCAAAGTTGTGTCCCACAGTTTGGAGATTTGTTTTAGTCCCAAGTGCATGAATTCTAAGGGTAAGTGTTTTCTGGGCAAGGAAAGAAAGGCAGAGGAAGTTGAGGCTGTTCAGGCTGGAGAAGAGAAGGTTGTCTGGAGAACTCATAGCAACCTTCCAGTATCTCAAGAGGCTTCAGGGAAGCTGCAGAGAGAGACACTCTTGGTTAGGAGCTGCAATGACAGGACAAGGGGCAATGGGTACAAATTGAAAGAGGGGACATTTAGGTTAGATATTAGAAAGTTTCTTCCTGTGAGAGTGGTTAAGACACTGGCACAGGTTGCCCAGGGAGGTAGGAGATGCCTCAACACTGGCAGTGTTCACAGCCAGGTTGGATGAAGCCTTGAGCAACCTGCTCTGGTGGGATGTGTCCCTGCTCAGGGCAGGGGTTGGGACTGGATGATCTCTAGGGTTCTGCTCCCAGTGTGGCCTGTACTAGAGCAGCAGCGAGGTAGGAGTTTGCTGGGTGTGTGTTGCAGCAGCTAATGCATCTGTCGAGTAAGAAATTGATTCCCAGCTCCCTAACGTAGACAGAAGCTACTCTGCGGGTCATCTTACTCAGTTTGTGATGGTTGGATC